CCCCCCCCCCTGCGGGGCACGCCTGCAGCTCCCGCCCCTCACCAGAGCCCACACTCAGCACTCGAGGGAAAAGTGCAAGTCCAGCGATTCCGCTTTTGCTGCGCAGCTGGGTTTGGAGAGCCTAGCAAATTCCCCGAACGCAGCCGGATACTCATCCGACCGGTACGCTGCCGCCGCCGGGCGCAGCCTGCCGGGGAGGCAGAACGGCACCTACAGCACAGCGGGACCCACCGTGTGTCTTCTTGACGTTAAAAAGTTGCTTGCTGCATCACCAGTGCCTTTCACAGAGCCTGCCCCGGGCAGACCTCAACACACACACGCTCCTCTCCTCTGCCTGATACCAACAAGTTCCCCGTGTCCTCACGGAGCAGCCACAACCTCCTGTTAATGTCTTGGCTCCTTTACTCAGTTCCTTGACCTGTTTCTATGCCTAATCTGGGTCTCCACCTTACCCTTCTCCATCAGGGTCTACGCAACGGCTCACACTTCCCTGATCATACTGTTCCTGGAAAACTGCAGCGTCTCCATGCCACCCTTCCTTACCCATTTCTCCCTCGCGTCCTCATCCCCTGGGGTTTACTGTTCCCTGAACTCTTCCAGTGTCTTACTCCCCATCCCGGCCCCTTTCTTCTACCACCCTTTCACTACAGATATGGTTGGGAAAGCAGCTGTTTCAGGCCCTGTCCATCTCCTATCCCCTCGTTCCTTCAGAGGACGCTGAGATACTTCTGCTTTGCATCAGCTGGGAAGAGCTGCTGAGGGCACCCTTCTCCTGCCAACAAGCCAAACGTACCACACAGCGCACCAATCTGACAACTTACAAACACCAAGTAGCACAAATTCACATACCGTCTTCATCTTCCTCCTCGTCGTCTAAGCCCTCCACGTAGCCCTCTGCGTCAGAGTCCGGCGCTTCTTTGTCATCCCGATCTTTCACTAGAGATAAGACTGAGAAAGTAGCTCTTTCAGGCCCTGCCCATCTCCTTTCCCCTCGTTCCTTCAGAGGACACGGAGGTACTTCTCCTTTACATCAGTCAGGAAGGAGCTGCTGAGAACACCCTTCTCTTGCCAACAAGTCAGAGCTGGAAGCAAAACGTACTAGGCAGCATATCGATCTTTTAACTTACGTACACCAAGTAGCACAATTCACATACCATCTTCATCTTCCTCCTCGTCGTCTAAGCCCTCCACGTAGCCCTCTGCGTCAGAGTCCGGCGCTTCTTTGTCATCCCGATCGTAGCCATCGAGGTATGTGAGTTGCGGGAGGAGCTTGAATACGTTTTCTCTGTAATCGTTCAAGTTGGTTACCTCGCAATTGAAAAGATCTAGACTCTTCAGGTTTTCTAACTTTTTCTGCAAAGAAAGAAAAGTCTCTGAAGTTCAGCGTCACAACACTGCTCTACAGAGAACGCAACGGCAGCCAGAGTTCATGTGCTCAACAGCTTCCCAGGTCAAAAGGGTCATTCTGGTCTCTGCCTGCTAAATTGGTGTGGAACAGAAGCCTGCAATGCCTGCCCATCGCTGCTCTGGTATCCAAGGGTGGAAAATGCTCTCGAGCTCAGCATCTCGCCAGTGGAAAACTGAAGTTTGGAAAGAGGTAACGCGCAAACCCACACACACTGTGAGGGGCCGAGCTGAGAATTAGCCCAGTCAGTTTTGCCAAAAAGCACCAGGTAAGATATTGGACCCAGCAGTCTGGTGTATTTAAACTACAGCTCTCGGTGGAAGAAGAAACAGACTATTCTTTGGACACAGGGATTTTGCTAAGAGAGATTTTTTAAATTTTACCGATTCTACCTTAGCCTTTAGAAAAATGGAAAAAGGCTTACAAATCAAACAGGAATTCAGTTCCTGGGGTTTTGGTTTTATTTTTTTCTGAGGAAGAAGTGGTCTGCACTGCCTACAGCACCTCAAAGTACTAACAATAACAGCACAAGCAGCTGAGGATTTGTATCCAGTCCTACAAAATACCTCCCTTCTGGAGTTTAGCGTGTAGAGCAATGGTGACACCAAAGAAACCAATTTGCCTGAAAGCGTAAGAGCAGTTACAACCCTCTCTCTCTTCTGTTTGCTACATGAGTTTAACTGCTCTGCTCTCCCCTTCTGCTGGGGGAAAGGAGATCCGAGATGGACTCAGATGAGAACTGCTCCTTGAGAGGTGTTAAGAGCACGTATTTGGGAAATAAGCATGAGCCGAAACTCTTCATTTCTGGAGAGCAAAGAGCACACAAACCAAAAGCTAGAAAACAGCACTACCGGGATCGATACTTAGATACTCTCTGCAACTGCAACCTGACAAACTTGAACTCAGCACAAACCAGAAGCATAATGACCGTGAGCAGGAAAGATGATGGAAACCAGCAGGGCTAAGGTGGAAGCTCAGCAACTTCTGCCCAGCTGCAGCGCGCACGCCAAGTATGGAGGCACACGGTGCTACAGCAGGCCCCACCACCACCAGCACACACCGCACCCGGGCACAAGCGGTGGCTGGTGATTTCAGACCCAAGGCTTCAGGGAGAACACGCCGAGCTCAAGCAGGGCGTCCGGGAGACAGACCCACAGCCCACGTCACCGTGGATGGTGACGGGGAGAGCCTGGGCCCGCCGGGGCGGCAGGCGCCAG